GAAACTAGGGACAGGACAGAGAAGGAGCGCCCCCTGGCTGCAGAGGGCGTGACAGGGATAAACTGAGAAATACCTATCTTTGTTTAGGAGTCTGTGATTAAATTCTCATCTATTTTGCTGCATTTATTACATTTATCATATAGACTAGGGATGGAGATTCATCAACAGCTTCAAACAGTCAGTTGTAACATTAAATGAGAGAATAACAATAAAGTCATTTGAAAGACAAGAGTTTCATTTGCAGTTGAATGCTTCCATTAGTCACCAAGATTAAATTGAAAAGTATTGGCACCATTTTCTTTTATTCCACATGTATAAGATAATGATCCCAGAGTATTATGTACTTTACTTCAAACACAATCTCATTATTAAATAAAAAAAATAAAAGTTTTGTGCTGGCATAGTATAGAACATACCACAACTAATACCAGGCATATGCTTACAGCACTAAGCAAATACATCTTAATAAAGTACTAATAAAACCCTGATCAGATTCTACAAGCTGCTCAACTTTAATCTTCATTACACTGATCAAAACAATATTTTGACAAAATTACACAATGCAGCAGTCAAAACACTTCTACAGCCGCCATATTGCATATCCATTGACATGCTAACCCTTTCCATGGAGTATTCCCAACAGATTCCCCTAGAGTTCAACACACAGAAATATTTAACACCACATTGCAATATGGGCAGATAATTCCCACAGCAAGACTGCATCTCTGAACATTTGGAAAAATCTGGTTGATGTTAAAAGGAGGTGGAAAGCCATGCTACATTCCATCGTTTCTGATGAGAAATGCTCCAAGGCCACCTTCTTCGATTTTTTTAAGAAGTCAGTTTTGGAAACTTATTTCTTTGGCTGCAGTCCGTTTAGAAACATGGAATTACCTAAGCTTTTCTAAGTGTACAGTGACAGTGGGGAAGAGGGTGGGATCTTCTACTGTGATTTTTGTACAGTATCAACAAAATACTGTCATCTAGATCTTTTCTTTCTAAGCACAAAGGAAATTAAAAAACACTGTGATATAAAATAGAATCAGTGGCACACGTGCTAATCCCTTCTGGAGGCTTACCTTTAACTTGCACTCCAATGAAAAAGCTGACATTGACATTCCCCACGTATCTCTCCACCAGAATGTAGTACCACTGCTCCCAGAAGGGAAGCTGGGTCTCCAGCTCGCAGCTCTTGCTCTCTTTGCAGTCCAAGTAAGTGGAGTTATGCAGAGGTGGGGCTTTGGCCCTGATCTTCAGGAACACTGGGCAGCTCTCCACCTTCTTGTCTATCGTGCTACAGTTCACAAGTTGCACCTTCACTTTGGAAATGTAATTTGGAATAAACACTCTAGGAGGAAGAACAGAACACAATACATGACTGTACAGTAACAACACATGCAAATTGCGATGGTGAATCTCAACTGAACAGTACCAGAATAGCAACTGAACATACAATATCATGTAATTCCTTTGATGTCTGAAGTGGCTGATTTTGAATTCAGCCCTGCTCATGTAATTTCCAGTGGCATGAAGAGTAGATTGACCGTGTAATTACATGAACAGGGCTTTAGGAATAAATTCATTCCTGCGGTATTTAGTTGAAATTTATTATGAGTTAACAGCCACTATTTTAAAGCATTACCCATGACCCCTTAGTCTCAGCTGCAGCAATCTCTATTGTTACTGTTGTAAGGCAATGTGAAATCAAACTTTTTTTTAACGACATCAATTTTAAAAATTAATGTTCTTGAGACCATTAAGTGCCAGAGATTGGAGAAGTTCCTTTTTCAAAGGTCAACAGATTAAAAAAAAAAAAACTAAATACTGTAATTGCATGACATACACAGAAAAGGTGAAGTGGTTTGCTATTTTAGCACTCACAATTTTCGAACAGAAGTAATAAACAGATGTTGAGTGACAATAAAGGGCATTTACTCTGATTTGACATTTACAAAGCATGATGTAGTTATTGCATTTTTAATACATATAAACTGTAGATCCAATTTCCTAAATTGAAAAGGTAGAAGTGTTTTTGTCTTGTTTATCTTGTTTTTCAGACACATGTGACATGCCATAAAAAAGTCATAATAAAAACGGCATTTTCTGCTATACATCAATAAAAGTATACATATTTATTATACAATAAAGGACTAAGGCCAAAGCAAAAGCTGTTTTCTTTTCTGTATTAATGAAGAAAATAGCACTGGTGGCAGGGAATTTGGAAGTGAGTGGTGCATTAGTACTGGAAAATGATTATATTTAAATAAGACTATGTAGAGTGTGCATTAACAAAATTGTTAATATTAACAAAAGCCCAGTTTTGTTAAAAAGCTTTTGGTTTTGCTGACAGAATGAAATGAATTGACTATTTTGTCTAATTTTCTAATTAAACAGCACAAAACATGAGACACGTGGTGTACATGCTTCATCACATTATATTTCAGGAAATGCACTAATTGTAAGTTATGTCTTTGAATTTTTTTTTCTAAATTAATCTTTTTAATTGGTATGAGTTCAATTAATATTTTGGGGGTTGTGCTTTGCCTTGGCATAACTTTTGTGATTGATTAAATGAAACAAATTCACTTCACCTTCAGACTCATTCTTATTCTGGTGATAGTCATAGTTATTACTTTTCTGTTATTAATTCAACTTGAATATGCTCAAGGGAATGCAGTTAATAAACTTGCTGAAATTATCTGTGTGTGTGTTTAGTGTGTGAGTTTCTGGAAATTGCCTGACAGGTTGATTATAAAATTGCTTAAGCTGTCATTTGAGTCTATCTGCATTTGACAGAAGAAAAACAGGCCTATGGAAAACAAAAACCGCTCATCAGAGAATTAAAACAACATTATGTATATCCTGCACACTCCTGTTTTAATATATCTAATTGTTTGGATTTCATATGCTCAAGTTTATAGCATGTTAGGTTCTTGCTAGATTTCAAATTATGAAAATGAACACTTTAAAATACTATAGTGTTATTCTTCAATTTCCCTATAGAAATCAAGGGCACATTTGTATTCATCATTATAATAAAAAAATATATGAAACTGAGGTTTCCTCTTTTTTTGTCTGGAAATTGAAACACTGTCATGTTCTTTTTAAATTATGTCCCCCGTGCAGAAATCACCTTAACATTGATTATGTTAAATATGTTTTTTTGCTGTTCTCTTCAATACTGAATAAATACAAGTTATAATTTATTTCTTCCTTTGTTACAGTAATTTCTTTGGTTTGATTTAGCTTACCTGTTCTTCCAGACAATGAAAGAAATATTCTTTAATGTCATAATTTCGAAGACTTAAATAATTTCTTTCATCTTTTATTACGTACAGTATTTAAATATTTCCTCTTAAAAATACATCATGTCATGACATTTATATCATGTTAACATATATCATACATTTTCATTCCCAGCTTTCACAGTATATTCATGTCTTTTAATAAATGTATGCTCCACTCATGTTAATTAAATGTCATACATTATTTTTTTAATGGTAAATTACTTTTACACAGGCTCTGTACCATTAATGTGAAGCTTATCTTTTAGTTCATGTCTATCTCCTAGAACTACCATGAACATTTTGAGCTTAGAAAATATGTTGATTGTTCATTGCTATTCATTTATTGAGTACTTTGATGAAGCATACAGTAATCATATAAGATCTTGACTCAAATGGTTTAGATGTGCTTCAACTGAATAGAAAGAATAATATGAAATTGCAATAATTTGTATAACCTCAAATTGAATATTGACCTTAAGATATACTATACATATTATAATAAACCATAATAATAATATAAACACGATTAATATTTTGTTAAAGTGTTCTTGTAGTGATAATGCTACAGTAAATATCATTTGCTGAACACAGAAAACATATAACATTCCTGTAATTTCTGTTGTGTCCTGGTCGCATAAGACAACATACAACTTCAGCTAACTGTAGCTAACTATCAACTGTATATACAGTACTGTCCCAATGTAACTTAACTTTATTAAATAGACAACATCAAGACTGATATGTTTGTAGTGTTGGATCTGTAACTATTACAGGCTACACTTCAATCTCTGTAGTCTGAAAAACAACAAACTTTGGTATACATGTACAGGTATGCACTTGTGCCCTCATGTCTGTAGCATTCCCAAGATATGTTAAATACTGCCACTTACTTGTAAAGCACCGATCTGTTGTGTACTGGGATTATTTGCTTTATCAAGTATCCAGGATACAGGACAGGAATACCAATCAATCTCTGCACAATTAATTGGGGCTGAAAGAGGTATTGGCATTCTTCATAGAGCCCCTGCATGGGAATAATAACAACATATGTAAAAATCTGTTATTCTTGTCTGAAGATATTTATCTGGGCCTGAAAGTAAATTCCATGCAATCCAGTAATTCCACTGTTATCCAACAAACCTAATGCAAGTGTTCTTTTACAATGAAAACATAAGCTCATTCTATCTACTGTAAATATTAGGCTAACAGATGTAAACATACATTATTATTTGTAATACAACTGAATTATGTCTATATCAATATTTTCTCAAATTCTCGTAAATACTTTCCTCCATGCAGTTCATAATTATAAATGGCATGAACTAGGTTTCCTAATAAAAATGAAAAATGCTAAATGAAAAATGCTAGTAAGCTTTTATTAAATCAATTTATGTAAATTATGTGTCAATGACAAAACAATAAATCACTGAGAACTTAAACAACATCTTGTAAAACACTTCTCACAGTATAAAATGCATAGTTTAAAAAATCAATGATTTCATGCAAATTCTGTAAAGGGTGCAATGTGAATCATATTTTATAAATAATATATAATAGTAATGTAAAATAAAGCAAAATTTTGTTTTCATCTTAAAAGCTTCTATTTTAAAATAATTCTTGCAAAGACAGTAATGTCAGACATAAAGACCTGAATGACACATAGGATGAAAGGATTTTTTTAGGAAAAATCCACTGAGAGATCTTATGGCTTAAAAAAATACACAGTTCAAGTATTTCTGTTATACTGTATATGTTTTTCTCCCCAGTCTCATTTTTAAAATGGATACAGTAGATTTGTCAAATAAATAACGATGTCCAGTACCAAATGTATGTAATCTATTTTGGATTCAGTATTTTGAAAAATACAGTACATTCTGTCTAAACTACTGTATTGTTGTTGTTATTAGATAATTTATTGATCCAGTTTGGGAAATTGCAGAATTATTATTATTATTATTATTATTATTATTATTGATGCTGTTGAATAAAGATGATAAGAATAAAGAGGTTAAAGAGAGTATGCCTAATCAAAAGATAGGGAGGTAATTAAAACTCTGTGGCATCCATTTAGGTAAAAATGTGCTACAGTATAAGCCTTTAGGTAACCAATACGAATTAAGAATAAGCACTTGGGAAATGTGTTGGTGTGTGTAAAAAAGATATTAGTGTTGTTTTAGATTTAGTGACAGTTGCATTTGAATTTCAGGGAATGTCATTCGGTGTGAGAATGTCATGACGCAAGCACTGTATATTGTGCTCATCACATCACTATGAAAACAACCATTCATCATTAAGATGCCACTGCTGATTATTGGAGAGAAGAGCTGAGCACTTGGAGTGCTAAACACTGGGATATCGCAATAACTGTCACATTCATGTTCACACAGCAACCGTTTCTTGTCTATTAGAATATATTAGGATGACTGGTTAGTTATTTTGGTTAGACTGTTATTGTAATGGGTACAATGGTACAGTGCTTGGCATTTCTGCTTCACAGCCTTGGGGCCTGGGTACAATTCCAGACCTGGGGTTTTATTTGCGTAGCCTTTGTAGGTTATCCAATTGTTCGTGTGGGTTTCCTCCTGGTGCTCTGGCTTCCTCTCACAATCCAAAGACAACCTGGTAGGTTAATTGGCTCATCCGAAAACTGGCCTTGGTGTAAGTGTGTGTGGTTGTGTCTGTGTGTGCCCCGCAACTGACTGGCATCCTGTCCGGGGTATACCCTGTCTTGCACCCATTGCTTGCCAAGATCCCTGTGATGCTGGACTGGATAAATTCATCAATTTCCCTATGGGATTAATAAAGTATTATCTATCTCTATCTATCTAAAATAGTTTGACAATGGATGGATGGAGGTTATTGTCCTCACCCTGGTACCCCATATATTACCTCAGTAAGACAGGATGTGCAAATCTGTCTTTAAAACCTTTGCACTTACTTGTATCTGGCCTGAGCTACAGAAAATGCTGTCACTGGGATTTGGAACAGGACAATTAGGGACGAAACAGTCCGAAGATATATGGCAGACATAGTTCACAGTGCTCTGGCACAATCTTTATTCATCAACTTAAAGTTACACAACAATTCTAGGTAGCAAGTGGGGGTAATAGTGGTTACAAAAGCTTGTTAATAAAAATGTTATTTCCAGTGATGAATCAAGATTTAAGCTGAGCTTTGTTGTTGACTAGCTCTGAGTCCATCAATGCCAGGGAGAATAATTTGCACATAAGTGCGTTGCTCAATTACATTGGTAGAGACGGAGACATGATTGGGGTGTAATTAACCCTAAGCTCCTATAATAATTTGTTGTTCTATACTGTATAAAAGTCTCATTTCTTAATACAGCTGTACTCTATATAGACAACATCTCACATCACTGTTCCTTCCATTGACCCTGCCTAATGGTAACCATAACCCTAGTTCTAGGCAGTGTGGTGCACAGGTGACGCACACAGAAAGGTCATCTTCTAACATGACAATTTTCACACAGGCCCAGCCAAGACTACACTGGCTTTCTTCATGCACTCAGTGTTCAAGTGTTAGATTTCAAAGCAAAGGTAGTTTTCAGAACCAAATCACAGATTGTAGGATACATAATATGCAGTACTTGACATTTTACAATTGCAACAGTTCCAGCACTACAGTATCTTATCTGTTTCCTCTACCAATTCATGTCTAAATAAATGTCCTGGGCTATCCTGTTCCAGTGATCAACAAGTAGATCTCGTTGTTGATTCATATTCTGTTAAATGGGACGGACAAGGTTTTGACATCCAACTTTATTCAAATAGAATTATTTCACTACTTTATTCCAAAGACAAAGAATGTACGTTACATTGGTTCAAGTAGGTAGCCACTTCAGCATGAATAGACTGCAAAGGAACAAGTAAAGGTTTATTCCATGCTGAAAAGAGAAAAAAATAAACATAGCGTTTCGGGTGTCTCATTCTTTCCATGTACATTACTGTATGTACTGTACCTGCATGAGGTAGACCGCACTAATTTTTCAAGGAATTAAACATTCCACTGACGTGGAAGAAGCAACTTTAACCAAAAATCAATTTTGAACACAACAAATGAGAAAACACATATTGTTAACAATATCTTTTAGCTAAAGAAGTAACATTGCAAGACTGAATATTTAGGTCTTTTGAGCTGGAGTGAAATTAACTATACAACTCTTGCCCCTGCCTGAATGGTAATCTCATAATTTGATCTTAATGAATTTAAAAAACCACAAAGCATGTCCAATGTAATTTCTTTAAAAAGGAAGGAGATTTAAGGAGATTAAACAAATAAGATAATGTTGGACTAAAATTAAATATGTACTGTTGTTCTCTGCTGTATTAGAAAGGAACAGTTCTCCATGCCTGAGTTACAGAGAAAATTACTGGCATACATATGCCCCAGAGGTACTGTATATGCACCTGGCCTGCCAACTCTGCAGGAAACTCCATATAGCATAATGATTATTTTTTCTACCTTTCTACAGCACTAAAGTGAAATAAATGACTTTATCAGCAGATTGGAAAAATATGAAAAGAAATGTGACCTTTTTGTTACTGCTTCTGTGTTCAGTGCTGTTTACCTGCGTGATATACTGAAGTCACATTTTCTTCTTCTTCATACTGTACATACTGTAAGACTCACATTTCAACAATACACAGGCATAATAATACATTTAGAAAAACTGCATATACAGTATACAGTAAGTGATCATGGTAAGCAGCAAAGCATATCAGAAGCACAGTGAGTCTACAGTACATTGCAAAACTATAGATGGTAACTTTTTTGATTATAGACATATTTCTGGAATATGTATGTTCAGTATCTCTGACATACATGAAAAAAAGTGATCCTGCAGTATTACATATTCTATAATAATTCTTCTGACACCTATATTTGCACTGAAAGGCCTTTGAAGTATTTTCATGAATAATGTTCTTCTGAACAGATGATATCAGACCTTTGCAGACCTCTCCATCACTATATTAATCATGACATGGGGAAAACACCTGCTGCCAACTGCCTGAGGTGTTTACTCTTTTGTACCAGGTCCTTTACAAAATAATGATATTCCACCAATGTATTATGATGAAGGGGTCATCTTTTTGTTGATCTATTAATGGGTTAATAACCTACAGACAAGAATCCCATATTTAATATTTCGGTAAAAACCCAATCAAAAATCATTTTAATCAACAAACCCACATTAAGAGTTGTTAACTCATGCACAGACAACGTCATCATTTTTTGTGTCATTTTTCATGTTCACTGTGACAACTCGTTTAACTTATTCAAATTATATATAAAAGGGAATCACCTGTTGTAAATCACCCTGTACATCTTTCCAGTGCTCTCAATACAACCAGATTGCCACATGGGGATGGGGTCAATCTTGTTTTTTCAGAGCCTTCATGACCAGGATTCCTTCCCATCCTGCTACAGGTACAGTATGAATACTTCATTTATTTTATTTTAGACAAACTCAGATAAGCGTTACTCTACTCCAAATTGGTCACAATGTCACTTCACTATCAAACTACAGTACATCCTAGAGGAGATACATAAAGATCAGGTCAAATCATCTTCACTCACTAGCTAGCTACTGTACTTATTATACTGCACTTAAAACTCTCTTGTTACCTGTTGTAGCTGAGGTGTGTACTGCTGCTGGATGTACTGGAGTTTCATTGTCCATGAACCTCATGTGTAGGTGTTAAGTTGGCCCTTATGGATGTTAGTCTTTCATTTCAAATTGCCATTTGGGCTTATTGATAGGCAGTTTCGAAAGCATCAGCAACTTCATTATCATCCACTATGGTATTATAAAAGAGTGAGCTGTTCTATTTTTAATTGTTTCTTGTTCTGACACAATAGAAGTGATGTTTTGCTTCAGTTCTCACTGCACATGCCTGTCTTATTGCTATACCGTCTAAATTCTCCATTTCCTCCTCATCATTGATTGGTGTCTGCTAAATTTTCCTTTTGCACTCAAACTGCTGCTGTTTGGGTACTAATTCT